CAACTTTTTTATCTATGGAACTATTTAAGTGAAATTTGATACTTAGGCGCTTGGAACAAAGGAAAATCTAACATTAGTTTTAAAATTGAGGTTTGCGCATGCGCAGTTCCAACTTTCTTATTTAGAAAAGCATTGAAATGATTCTTCTCATAAACTGAAATTGAAGTAGCACGTCAACAATGGATTGCCCATGTGCAATGCTATCTTTCATATTTGTGGCCGGATTTCTACGATTTTAACAGAAGTTGCATCTTACAAATGGGAAATGAATGCAAGTGGAAATGCGCTTTATGTAAATCGTTTACGATTACGTTTTAACTTTTTCCTTTTAGAATTGTTTGTAATTACGTATTATTTTCTTGTTTAAATTTTCTCGCTCTTGTAATTGATTCTTAGTTAGACAGATCTGGTCATATTTTGGTTTTGGTGGTTTTGCGATAGGGAGCCTTATGAGGCGAAAATTATTTAACGCGCGTATTCTTATTTTCGGTGTAAGTGGGAGAGCGGGGCACGTTCCTTCGAGGATGGCGTTATCAAGTTTAATTGTTTTAAAAATCCTGAAGAAAAAGATTAATTTATATTGTAGTATAAGTGGTGTTCCCTTAAATACTTGAATCAACGTAAAAACGAAGCGGCTGCCCTAGTTGTTTTGTTGAAGACGCAGTTCGTCGGTTTTAAAATTAAGTGTGCAGAAGAAGTTTATCAATTTCAATAAAACATTCAAGTTATGGTCAAGTAACAGTTTGTGAAAAGTTTTTACAACGGTTTGTCCGTATTCAGAAAAAGTGAGTTCGAGTGTGAGTAAACAAATGAGTTGTCAGCTTAGTAAAACCTTTATAAAAGGTTTGTCTTTCATTAAAGTCATTAAGTTTTGTAAGCTTCTCTTTCTTTCAGGGATTTTGGTTTAATTACTTCATGTGTTTCATTGTCGATAACTTAATTATGCGTTTATTTGAATCCTTTGTGCGACTCAAATAGAGTTTTCATCTCAGACTTTCCTACTTGTGCCCAAGATTTATTTTAGTTATTAATCAAAAGTTGCATAAAAAATTGTTTGTAATTGATTGAAGTTGATCAAGCCCACGTACCGAGTCTCTCAAATTAAAAAAATGTTTGTCAATATTAGCATTATAGCAGATGCAGATGAAATTAAATTAACTAGACGTAGAGGTGGTGTGAAAAAAACATGAAGGAGAAGTGAAAATGATATGGATCATGGTGACTGGAGGTCCCACGTAAGTGTAAAGGCATAAAAGAAAGGGTAAGGGGCTAGAGGCATAGACAAAGCGACAGAGGAAGAGATGTGAAGGGTTTAAAGAGAGCACGAAGAATATCAGTGAATTGTGAGCGAAACATTAGGAGGTTTAAGAGGAGATTGAAGTAAAGAAGCGGACCAACTCTGTTTGAGTGTTATAGTGCTATATTTACGGGAGATTTGATGCTATAAGTCCACCGACAACAGGTGAAAATAAATAACGTTAATTCATATAGGAGAAACAATCCTAACAACAAGACGAGAACGACATCGTAACTAGCAAGCTGGTATGTCGACATATCTCTCGATGCTAAATTAAAATGTTTCGCTGTTCCATGCCGTAACACAAATTCAACCCAATAAACAGCTCGTTCTAATGGATGGTCTGGACTATCTCTGTACAGTTGTGATAATTGTTTTATATTTTTACTGTACCTGGGTAAACAACTCTGTATAGTGGACACAGCGGAAAAAAGTATCTTACATGGGATTGTTGATGACCTCTGTGATAGCAGCAAATAAATTTTCTGACGTGATATCATGGTAACTCACTACTTTTCCCATACGTCTATCAGCAAGTTTTTCCCCGTTTGCATGCTGATCTATAAAGAATGGAACTACGATCACTGGTACTCCATGGTACATCGCTTCCTGGGTGCTCAGTGCACCTCCGTGTGTAATTAACAATTTCGTTTTACAATTTCCTAGAAACAGCAAGCTAAAATCAAATCGCGGATTTTATATCAGTTCACCTAAAAGATCATTTTGCGGTAGCCATTTCCTTACAAAAACGTTTTTCGGAAGATCAGTTATTTCACTTTCAAATTTCCATAACACCGTCTGGGGAAGTTTTGCAAAAGCGTCTAATATTGCAGTTCTTTTAGTAATACTCAACTGATCTGACCTGAAGTAACTACCCAACGCAAATATAACTAGACCTTCTTGAGCGTCCTCCACAATCTTTTTTAGGTCCTGCAATATTTACATTAGAATGTCGTACCACCTACATTAATCACATACTACTGGTAGTGGCTTAACGGGCTCAATATGCAAACCCCCCGCTGGAACGATGTTAGGTGCCAAAGCCAAAGGAAAGCTTAATAGGGGGTCATAATTGCATATCAATAAGGACATATTTCGTTCGACCTCTTCAAAATCTCGAATATTTTCACCAAAATATTGTTTTGCCAATTTTAACTCGGCTGGCAGACTAATGTACCTTCTGTATAGAATCTCAAAGTGAATCAGTAGAAAATTTGTCATCCTTTCCGCAAAAATCATTCTATCGGTGTGCTTCGTACTATAAAATGGGAAGTAGGCGGCCTGCATGGGATTGCCAAAAACATGCGCCAGAGCAGGTGATAGTAAGAAAGTTGTAACTGCCACCACTGGTGGATTGTTAAATCTTTGGATCAATGGGTAAAGACATCCCTCATTACTGATATCAAAAATGATCAGGTCAAAATTGAAATCCTTGGGGTAATTCAGTAAGGTTTTGAAACCTTCGGTCTCTAAATCGTGCACGCAGGAATAAAATGAATAATCGTACCTTGCCTTAATGTTAGAAAACGCATCTCGTTTTGACAGTGACTCTAAACTGTGAGCTTCATACTTTTTTTCGTAGAAACCTGAAACAATACTCTTGTAGAAGCATATGTTATACTAAAAATCTAAAAGTATACTGACCTTCTAGTCCAGTCAAATAAGAAAAAATAAAAACATTAATCGGTAAAGATCTGAAATTTTGGTACACATGTTCATTAGTGTTCCCCATTGGACATACTAAAAGTCCCCGTCAAAATCTGTTGCGCTCGAGGCGCCATTCTGAAAAAAAGGAGCACTTTTTCAGTTTCTTGCCTATATATCGGCAACAATTATTGATACGGAAAAATAGTTCAGATAAAAATATAGTTTATTAAATTGCCCATAAAAAAGCATATTAACATTTTTCTGTATGCCCAATACTTTAGCTATAATCCGACATCGAATAGGGAATCAAGTATCCTGAGCTCTCGAAACAGTCGCGCAGTTATTTTTTTACAACTTTTTACAAATCATTAAAAATTCATTGAAAATTCTACCAGTATTTCTTATATATGCGAAGTCGTCGCACTCAAGCTTGGTATGAGACACGTTTAGTAAGGTTTCTCATAAAACTCTCTCTCAATAGAACTTTCATCTTCAATGTGAGCACCGAGTGTCCGAACAGGGTCAAGGTCATTCTGAAGGTCTGATAACGATGTCGGTTTTAATATCTCTCACTAGCAGGCACGTTATACTTATGCAGATAAGGGCGTTCTTCAGCTTCAGAAATCATTTCGTTGCTCCAACCCTTTTACACATTTTCGCTTACCTTTTTGAAAAAAACATGATGTATCATCAAACATTATGTCATTGGTAGAATGCTTTATCGCACGACGATTCTGTTCATTTTTTGGCTCTGTTACAGCTATCGATGTAGTCATAAAAAAGACGGCCTCCTATAATTACGATACGGGGCCTAAACGCGTTCTGACGTATTCAACGTGAGATTACAGCTAAAGTACTGGAGATACAAAAAAAATGTAAATACTCTTTTTTATAGGGAATTTAGTAAACTATATTTTTCATGTAAACTATTTCTTCGTGTCAGTAATAATTGCCGAGACATGGGCAAAAAACTGGAAAAGTGTACCGTTTTTCCAAGATGGCGTCTCGAGCGCAACAGATTTTGACAGGGACTTTTAATATGTTCAATAGAAAGTCCCAATAAATGTGTATACCAAAATTCAGATCTTTACCAATTAATGTTTTTATTTGTCCAAAATTGCGCTAATTTGACTGGACTATTCCAGTAAAATAGTATGAAAGTTTTTGATTTTCTGTTTTTCTTCAGTGTGAGTAACCATGGTGACGTTATGACCTTTGTCAATTAAACTAACTGCCAGTGCCCGATTCCATATGACGTGGCTTGGAGAACCAAGGGGTACGATATACAAAATATTGGCGCTCAAGGCCATTCTTATTAATAAAAGGAGCACCACGTTCATGCTGTATCGACTATTAGAAATAAAGGTTAAAAAAATTGTCATAGAAGCTTCTATTGTTTACACTCATCGTAATGCATATTTAAAGGTAATGCATATTTAGGTGTAGTAGTCTCGAGGACGACAGTATTATAACCCAAAAAAAGTTTGTTTACTTCATGTAAAAATAATCTGCTGCCGAGTAAATGAAACCGGGTACTTGTTTAATTATTAGCGAAATGTTGTATACATTGATTGCAGCGATACCCTTTTGCGCTCGGCTAATGAAGCAAAAGTTAGATAAGAGCCCCAGGTCTACGCGCAGATTGTTTCAGAGTCGTGGTGTTTATCACCCCGTTCTGGTAAATAGACCATTAAGAATAAAATGTTCAAAGGTCACGTAGATCTCTTACAAGTCATATTACTTTGAAGATTTAGTACCTTATTACTGGAACGGATTACTTTAAATGACGCCGATGATCTTAATCTTGCGGCACAATAAAAAAATTCAATTTTGCGCCTCTAAATTCCAAATTTAAAGCAAACAATGGTTACGATCAAATTCCTTAAACTTTAAAAGGATCACTTATCAAATTTTGAAGAAGACACTTGAAGTGAACTTTGAGTAGGAATCAACAAAATTAATCATAATTAAACATGAGACATCTATCTGAGTCGTTAAATAGATCGAATAAATATACGATTTGCATGATTTCACATAAACAAAGTTTATTCTACAACCACAAATGAAAATAAACATAAAAATCCTACTTAACAAAATTGGAATACACAAACCCCGCATATGCGTTGCATTGCAAATTAAACGACATCACGAAATCTTAGATTACTTACAGCTTTTTATAATAACTGCGAAAAGAAACAACGCACTTAACCAACGTCTGAATTAACTGGTTGAAGGCAAATACTTGACCGATGAATCGAATGACTGTCCATTTAACGTGGACGACAACTTCAATGAAAACTGTTCTTCGAAACTGCTACTTGCAGTTTCTTTAATAACTTCAACTCCAACTAGGATGGACTCTTGCTTACCACGTACTTCTCCTTGATGATCAACGAATTTGTTTAAACAAAAAAAAGTAAAAAACTTTGCCAACAAACGTAGAAATGCGCGTCTTCTCGGCCTAGAAATTGACAAAAAAGGCTACGCTACGCTACGCTAACTCCGGCATTTAAACGAAGTTCCCTCCTTAAACAAATCGAAATTTCTTATCCAATTATCGACGCCTGGCAACTCGATAAACCAATGGAAGCTTCGCTACTAGACGCTTTCTTCAGTCACGTACGCAAACTTTACGCGGAATTATCTGTTCTAAAATACAACATTTTCGACGAAAACAAACAGTTTTTTTTTTCGATTAAAAGGCATCCTTATCTCTAGATAATTACACAATCATCATTTACAAAAATTAACGAAAACCCAATAAATCAAATCTGGACTGTCACAAATGAATTAACAAATGAAATTGATAACGAAAAATGAGATAAAATTTCCTATCCTTAATAATTCTAGGATCTATCTTTTTTACAACAAAATTAATAAACAAACACCTTGGATGCAGGAAAGTGCCCATAATAAGCGCCTTCTAAAATGAGTTGGAAAATGAGCTAAAACTGACAGAGGATCATTTAGAGTTAGAAGTAACAGATATATTGAATCTCTCAGCCATCCTAGAGAGATCACAGGTTTTCAATAAAAAGGGAATTTAGATTTTTCGGTATAGTAAAAATTGAATTAGTTATCTGGTTTCTCGAACGATAGTTTCGAATTATAAGAGTAGTTATATAGGGCCGGTTCTGGACCAGTTCAAGGTCACTCGCCACCTGGCGGTGACCTTGGAAAGTAGGTCAAGGTGAAATTCAGAGGTCACCTAGCGGTGGCCTTGAAAAGTAGGTCAAGGTGAAGCTTGACGGTCACCTTCATGGTACTCGATAGTGTCAAGTTGAAGGTTGTACATTTGTAATAAAAGGCTTTCCTACGTGACCATTCACATTCCATTTTCAAGGTCATCAAAGTTCAATAACCTCATTTTTTAAGTGTCATATTTCATTTTCAAGGCCAACAAAGATCAATCACCCCATTTCTTGTGGTGTCATATATCGTGACCAAGGAAAGTGTGCCCGGGGAAAGCTCAAAGGTTAAATTCAAGGACACAATTATTAGGATATAAAGCGCGTCTGTGTGCGTGTATAATTCAGTCAGTCGGCGCCTTGCTTTTCCTAAAAATGGATTTCTCCGATTTAAATCGTAATACATTGTGCAAACCGTTTAAAAATCCTAGTGAACTTGAAATATCGAAAAAGTACAAAGTGTTGGAAATTAATGTGATTAATACCAAGTACGGGGAACGAATAATGGTAGATACTGATGATTTTGAGTGCATATTACCTCAACGTTTTTTTAATTATTTCAAAGAAGGGGGCCGTA